TTATTTCTTTCCAAGTAATATTTAAAAGCTTCTGAGTAAAATATTCTTTCAAAGAAATTCTTTATATAAATGATCTTTAACTTGCAAATTGAACAACTTTTCAATAACACTAGAACACTACAAAAGAAAGTCATCAATCATGAGAAATTATATTCTATGAAATCCATGATCGAACTAGATTGATAAAGTAGAAATTATGAAACAATGCGCACATATATGTTGTTTTATCAATCAAGTTAAAACCCATCAAGGAGTGCAATGAAATTATAATTTATCACTTAGAATAAAGACTACACCGGGCTCGACACTAGGGCCTGTGGTTTCGACTCCACTCTAGGAGTTCATGGCTTCAACGAACATGGGCTTTGGCACAGGCGTTGCAAGTGTTTAGCTTTGTCTTCAACCACGGGTATCAAAACCTATGGATCAACATTAATGAACATGGTGTTCAACTCTTGTGTGTGGCAAAAAGGATTGTAGGTTTAGCAGAGATCTGCAGGTTCTTTGATGAACATAGAGGGAGCTACGACAATCGACTCCGATGAATGTTGAAGGGACCTTTGATATCAGCTTCAATGACACCCTCAACACTAATGAATGCTAGAGGAAGTTTCCTTGCGACACAACGAGAGGATGTAATTTTGACTACTTGGTATAATTAAGGCTACACATAAAATTATAAATTTCTATCCTCTGTCACATTTCTTTTCTCAAACCATGTCTAACTCGTTGATGTTGTGTCCGGGTGACACGGATAGCTTTAAGAAAACAACCAAGTAATTCACTAAAGGTCAACTGCCAACTCGAGAATTTACTGCTAAAAAATTTCAAGAAAAGAAAAGAACTATAAACAAAAAATGTACTCCAAAGTCAGGCTATTATAAACTTTGACACAGTTAAATTGGATTTCACAACTAGGTCACTAGTTACTCTTCTTTGTTTGGTTCAGGATGAAGATAGTTGCTTTTGATTATTCACCGATTCTTTCACGTTTCTTCTTGTTTATGGCTTGAGATCAATGGTGTTTTGACATCCTGTCTTCCACTTATAGGTTCTCTCAGAATTTAGGCCAAGGAAGCCCGATATGTTCTTTTGCAAACATTACAAAGTTAAACTAGAGAGAAAACTTATTGGGAAACAAGCAATTCTTGACATTCATGAATTATGTGGTTGAATCGGGACTGAACTTAAAAAAATTTCAGAATAGCTATTGCAGTATGTGGAACCCTTGATTCAGGAAGTGAACTCAATCTTGCTGGCTGGTTTGACCATCATTGGTTACCAGCAGCCTGGATGCTGGAAGATGGTAGTAATGCTGATTATTTGTGTTTCTTGCCCTTTGAACTTAGCCGGGCGGCAAGCCTACAACAAAAACTTCTAATTCCTGCAACTAGAAGTGATTGAACGTACTGACAAGCAGAAAGAAAGGTTTATGGTTTAGGGCCACCTAAAGCTAATTTTAGGGTAAATCCACTTCAATGAAGTGAAAACTCTCCCTCTCAAATCTAACATGAAAAACTCAGCCTTTCTTAACATATGTCGAAAGTAAAACATCTACTCTTCGAATCGGATCATCAGATGGTCGATGTTTAATGTGACCAAACCATCTAAGACGACTTTCACAGTACACTGGGGTAAAAAATATTATGGCAAAACCACTGCTACGCTTAGACATTGGTATTCCTTACCCCTGCCCTTGAATTGTTTCTTCTTCGTTCACTTCCTCCATGCGCCTTGTTTAGTGAATGACACAACTCGACACGTCAGAGAACTTCATGACATCTGAAGCATTTCCTGGCAGGTATTAATGGGTACGACACTCTTCTCAGGCTTCTCACTCGAAGTGGCTCTATCGTGCTCCTCTTGAGGCGTCGAACCGTGGATGGCTAGAAAGGTGCCGACAACAGGTTGGGCGGTGGTGAGGAAATCTGCGAAGGGTCAGCAACATGTTGGGGCGTCTGTGAGGAATGGATGGGAATGTAAGGGGAGGGAAAAGGAGGCGACATGGTGGCAAAAACAAATTCGATGAGGCGGTGGCGAAGGAAAGGTTGCAGGAGAGGGAAAATTGAGGATAAGTTTCTTAACATAATAGAACTATAGCCAGAACACCATTTGATCCTTGGGAGATGGTTATCAAAGCACGTGCTTGCCTTCTGATTCAACCCTAAGAGGGGAACACTGTAAGCCGATGATTGCCTTGAACATAAACATACACAAAATCTCTCCCTAAACACATTCAAACAACATATACATACTATTAGGCAAATAAGGAGTGACCCACTCTTTTGGAAGGCACTTTCAAAACCTAGGAACCGAATCAGTCCAGCTTCTTGTTGCAAAAGTTCAGTGCAGATCTAGCTCTTCCCTGCCCGCCTATTGGTCCGGCGTATCCATGCATGCATTTTGCTTGTCCACACTAGCGTCCCGCTCTTCTACACCTGCTTCAAAGGATGGTGTTTTCTGTGTTAAAACTTTAGAGTTCAATTGATAGAGTGGAGTGGAGATAAACATTAGGAAAACAATTGATATAGTGGCAGTGGTGGAGACGAACATAAAACTTTTGAAGGAAGATGTTTGTAATTTTGTGTTGTATTTGAGTTATGGAGTTTATAAGATGTTTCCTTAGGAAATTAAGATGGTGAATTGGAAAAAAATGCAAGAAAAATTATTGGAACCCTAATTTGGCCGACTTAATAAATTACTCATTTCTTTGGAATTTTTAAAGGATGCGATTGGATTTCTGCTAGGGGTGTAAAGGAGTCGAGCCTGGCTTGTGTGACACCTAACTCCACTTGGTTTGTTAAATTAAGGGAAAGCTTGAACTTGAGCTTGTGTATGCAACATGAACTCTACTTTTCAGAATAATTGTATGCTCAAATTCATCTTGGTGGGTCAATGGAGTAGGCTTCATAATGCAAGCTTGCTTGAGAAGGCATTGACAATGTGATAGCTCCCTTGAGAAGCCATTGCGGGGGAAGCTTGTCGATGAAGTTGTCGACGACTACATCGCAATGGGAGTTTGTTGGAAAGGGCTTCGACGGAGTGATTATACTCTTTGGAGAAGCTCCAATGGGGTGGTAGCTTGCTAGAGTAAGCATTACAATGGAATCTTGCCAATGGCGGCAACAGGATGAGCCCATTGCAAATTACATCGATAGCATGATGGGATCTCAATGGAGAAGCATCGACACGAGTAATCGCTCACAAGTGAAATGACTATTGGATGCAACAAGAAATCTAATGGGGTATAAAGTGAAATGTGGGAGAAAAAAGGTTTAATGTAAAACTATGGGAGAAATCTAACCAATTTGCAACCCATTGAGCCAAGTAGCTCGCAAGAAACAAGCCAAGGTTGGCCAAGCTCAAAGTTGAGCTCTTATATTATATAAGCTATAATTTCAGCTCGTAGCTTAAAAATCTTGACTCATGAGCTTATTAGTTTGTCAGACTCAAAGTATTAACTGGGCTGATTTGCGAGACCCTTAAAATTTGTGGTTAATGAAAGAAAAGATGGAGAGATGGTAGAGAAAAAAAAATTTCACACATTTTAAACAAAATAATTTATACCCCATCGAAGGGAAAGTATTAACTGGGCTACCTAGCCAAACCTTTCCATGAGGAAGAGGGTGATGAGCAATCCTTTTAATTGGTTCACACTAAACTTTCATTATAACATTTGCAATATGTTTAAAAAACATTCTAGATTTTTTGCCCTTTAAAGATAGAATTTTTTTCCAAATATGAGTTGACTCCTTATTCGTAGGAAGTGGTTGTTCAAATGTGAGAGAGTGGCAGTCACTCTCATATTTTTAGAGCAGTGGTTGATCGGGCAACTTTGTTGAAGCATAAATCAAACTAAATTGAGTATATATTTAAATGATTTAGTTTTGTTGCACTTATAATTTTATAGGTTTGATTTTTTCAATTATTTAATTTTGCTCAATTGGTTTAACAAATTTGTTTACCAATCCAACTGAGCTTAACCTAATGCACACCCTTAATCTTAATCAATAATGTCAGAAGTAGTAAGAAACTAAATTTAATTAGTTTCTTTTAATTGATTATAAATCTTTGTAGCCTTGTAGTCAATTAAATTTTTAAAAAATACTACTCATCAAAGATATATATATATAATTGATTAATAGTATTTCGAGTCAAAGCGAGCCGAACACGAACGAATAAATATTTATTCGTGTTATTCGTGTTCGGCTCGTTAACTTAGCGAACGAGCCGAACACGAGCTTCTTAACGAGCCAAACACGAGCTATTCGCGAACAACGAGCCGTTTTGACAGCCCTATGTGCGAGTTTAGTTGCGTCTGTAGTTACATTGTGTAAGCTGAACGAAGATGATTTGCAGTTTTAGCAGAACGAAGGGCTTTATTGGGTATAAAAGTGCCATAGATCAAGCAACTTTCGGGTCCTTTATAGCTACTACAGGAAGATTCTCTTGCTTACTTGGTTAATGGCTATAAAATTTGTAATTGTTTTAACAACATTAAGAAAGGCTTATTTAAGAAGAAATTATTTACTTCAGGATTGTAAAGCCCTCATTCTCTTGTGGGATGGCGTTAAAATAACTGTGGCCTATAAATTTCTTTGTCAAACATGGACTTCTCTGTCGCTGAACCTTCTTGGTTTATTCAAGCTTTTGGCCGGGGAATTTTTTTTTCTATCATGCTACTTACATAATCACTGATTAACATTTTAACTAGTCTCGTAATGAAGTAATACCCCATTAAGAAATATTCAAGACAAGCTTGGCATCATAGCATAGTTATTGTTTTCACTTTCCGTATTCCTGTAATCTCAAATATATGCAGTCCTGGATTGTTTTTCTTTTCTTTGAGAAACTTAAGCAATATGTAATAAATCATGTGGCTTTAATCTGTGATCTTGTTGATATAAGCCACTATCATTTTCTCTGCTTTTTTTTAAAAAAAAAAAAAATTATTATTATTTATTTTAGGAATGAAATTAGTTTTATTGTTATGGATGCAGATACTCTTTTGCAGCACAGAGAATGGGAGAATTTCATTTGTTCGACAAATAGAAGCAGATTGGCATATCGATTCAAATCTTGATATAATCTCTCAACTCACTGTTAGTCAAATCTGGCCAGTCATGTTTCCATGCGCTGTTTCTCTGTTATCTTTTCTAAAGGTCATTGCCTGCTTTTCTTATCAGAGATTCATTAGGTGTCAACTCTACATCTCATCGGATGATGATCTTGGACAAATAGCGCCCAATGTGATCACTTCCACAAGTTTGGAGCAGTATCTATCACAAATTTATTGAGCATTACATACCCGGGCATTGTAATGCAGATGCATCAAGGAATCATACATTACCCGGCATTGCAAACTTCCGGGAGTGCATGAAGCTCCTCTGTCGTTTTCTTCTCAGTGATTCCTTTTGTGCAAATGTTGTTTGAGATCGACGTATACATTGTAAATAAGAAGCGAGGCCTGCCCTTATTTTCTGTCTTTTGTCCGCTCGTTTCTAACTTTAAGCACAAATGGCACCAACTGTTGATACTTCCGTTAGTGATCAGAAAATCTTGTGTGCTTGCAGTATTGCTCATGTTTCGTTTATCTTTTGGCATTGGCATTACAATCTAGAATCCATACTTGTGTTTTGTTTTTTGTACTACTTGTACAAGTGAAATGCGACCTTCTAGAACTTTATTTTCTTTGTTGGACTGTTTTAATTTCATCGAACTGTTTTATGTTCTAAAAATAAATGGTGCAATTTTTGTGAAATTAATGAACTGTTTGGGGCAGCTGCAGCGATGTTATGACTTTTATTTTTTATTAAAAAAAATTAGACCGTTAGCAGGTAAGATTATCAAAGACGTCTTTTTCATAATAGTGTCGTGAGAAAACAGAAAATGTTGTTTCTCCAAATGCCCGGCGATACCGTGCAATGCCACTGCTGCCATGAAAAGGAGAAAATTTTGTGTACGTAAGACAGTATGCAGTGCTCCGTACGGCAGTAGGTTACACGGAGGGTATTGGGGAGTTATATCCGCGTTATATCCCCTGCAACCTACCTGTAACTTACCTGTAACCAACTCTTTTAATTAGAAACACTTACTTAAAAATCAAAACAGCCTAAATACTCTTTTGTATGTGTGAGTAAATCCCAAATTAAGTTATAATATTATTATATTAAGCCAATGACATGGAATAAAAAAAGTTAAAAAATTGGGAAGATTAATTATACTAATTATTACAGTAGTAAACAAATAGGTTAAAGAAATATAAAACAAATAAGATTATAGACTTGGAAATTCTTACATATTTTGGTAAGCTTGAGGCTCACAACTGTGGCCGCTGAACTCTTTGAATCATGAGTTCTATATTAAAAGTCAAAAGAGCCTAAAAACTCATATGCATGCTATTAACGATCCAATTTTGAGCGGAGCGGGTTGGCTTGAAAAAATATTGATTCAAAATTTTGGCTTATAGCTGGACTTGTTTATTTCAAACCGATCTCAATTCGAGCCAAAATTTGAATTAATCTTCAAGTGATAAACGAAACGATATTCGAGCTAAATTCAGAACATTACTCTTTTACATGGGTGAATATAATCACATATTAAATTATAATATTACATATTATAATATGGCAATGACTTGGGATTACAAAAGGTTAATTTGGAATTTATAAGATCTTTCAATTTTATTTCACAACGCAATGATGGATTTTATCAAAAATGACATTACGGATTTTATCAAAAATGACATTTGATCATCCTATAATACTGGTAGTTTATTAAAATAAGCTCAATAAGTTTGTTTGAGGATGATTTCATTGTTAGATTTAAGTATGATTACAAAGAAGAATAGATTTTATCAAATGTATGTTTGCAAAACCAATTTTAGTCGGTCGATTCTTGATGAAAATAAATATTGCAACTTGTAAATTGAAATTTAATTTCGATTTCGTTAAATGGAATCTGAAAATATAAGAAAATTTTCTTCAGCAATATGAAGAAACAATTTTATATATGAAAAAGTTTAGCAAATGATAAGATTAATTTCAGTAAATCGGAATTTCATCAATATGAAAAGGTGATTTAGAGATTTGTATGAAACTTGCTTACGGAAAAGAAGTTGGAAAACAGTAGTGAGATTTCAAGCAAATATAAGGTGACAACAATCCTTCTCCCTTGAAAAATTTGCACTCAATTTGAAGATGAATCCCTTCTGATTCGGTTCATCAATTCAAAAAATTGAGAAAATTGTAGCAATTTTCCGGCATAATGGTTCGACTTATGTTGTTAGCCCAAAAATTTTTTTTCGAGAAAATTGAGCACAAATGGTACTATATTAGATTTGAACCTGCGACCTCATTGGAAAACCAAACTCTTCATCAACAATCGTTGCCATGGTTAAATGCGCAATTACCCCTTAAAATTTCAGTTATACAAAGATTTAGGAAAATAAGAAGAGTAGATTTTCATTCAGCCAAGGGATAAATTCTATAATGTAGGTAGCAGCAAAATAGGTTTGTAAGGAGTTAAAATGTATTTTAGGTTGCAATAATTATAGCCTTGTTAAGAGAATAGAGAGAGAGAGAGAGAGAGAGAGAGAGACATCCATAATATGCAAATATCTTATTGTGGAAAAATCATAAAAATATAAACCAATAGATTTCAACTCAAAATAACATTGCAAAATTCAAAAAGAATAAAATTACTTTTTGGCAAAAATTTTAAATGTTTAAATTAAAATTGAACATATAAGCTTAATTTATTAAAATTTAGCACATAAGCTACACCTTTTAACTTATATGACACAATAGAACTAATATACTGTTGGAATTATATTCAAAATTTCACATAATTTCATGCTACTTCTTGCAAATGCAATTAGTGGAATAAATCATTACATTCAATGATAAAAAATATAGATAATATATGACCTCCTTTAAATATATGCATATGAAAACAAATATTTAAACCAACATACATTTTACTGTCTCTTTTGGCAATATAACACTTGAAAATGGTAGAGAGAAGTGCGCAATATAATTCTTGAATTAGTGGAGCAATTTCAAGTAGTTTTAGTGGGATGCAACTTTGAAAATAAGTTAAAATTGATCAAGTAGGGCAGATTTATGGTTTAGGGTTTTGTTCTCTGACATTTACAAAGATGGCTAGATAATTAGTGGAATGGTTTAAGGACTTTCTCTCGTTGATATTTAATTTTTTTCATAAATTTTCAGCATACTTATGATATTAGAAAGTGAATTAGAATCAACTAGGTAGGGTGGAAACCTTAGCTTGACCGACACACTTAGGTAATGTTTATGGATTGAATGGATGAATTTAAGGCTTGAGCTAAAGGTTAAAAGATTTATTATTTAAGATAGAAATATGTGTAGAATTTACTTGGATAGCATTGTGATTTTAGCTTTGAAGATCTTTATTCGCTAAAAAATTGATTCAAATTTTGGTTTGGATCAAGAATGTATCGAAATAAACAAGCTGAGCTATGAGCCAAAATTTTGGATCGAATTTTTTTTCAAGCTGATTTCAAGCTGACCCCAAGAGCCAAAATTTTGGATCGAATTTTTTTCAAGCTGACCCCAGCTTGGCTTAAAATCAGATCTTTAACAGCTCTAGTGATGTTAGGGCTATGAATTTTGCGATTTTAGCTCGAGAATTGTTAATCGTTCAAAAATTGATTCGAATTTTGGCTTGGACCAAGATCAAATCAAAATAAATGAGTAGAACTACGAGCCACAATTTTGGATGAAATTTTTTCCAAGCTGATTTTGAGTCGAGCCTCGGAACATTAACATCTCTATAACTGGAGTAGATGATTATTTTTGGAGGGATTGAAAACCTCCAAAAGTCCAAGAGAAGAAGACTAGTTCATATTATTTTGTTCCTTTGGCTAAAACCTTTATGGTAAGGGAATGAAACTTTAAGTAAGATAATGATAGGGAATTACAGTACGATCAAATTATTGATGTGAAGGAATGATTCTAAAATAACAAAATAAAAAGAATTTGCATACAAAGTTAATATCTATTCATTAAAGAGGCATAAGATTGGGACTAGCCACTGAGCAAGTCTGGTGAAATTTGACCACTAAGCCTCTTCCCTTATGTTTATGTTCAACACTCCAACTTCACTAAAAACATTACTAATCACTTCATGCAGACCAATACACTAAACTAGAGGCCTGCTTTGGAGAGGGGAGGTTATGAATGGCAAGGTGGGATAGCCCATTTTAAATAACCATGGTCGGCTACTCAAATTTAAGTAAGCTACTATTAACGTAATGTTTCACTGTAAAATCATGGAAAAATTGTGAAATGTCACATTAAAACATAACAGCATATGACCATACTTATGATTCAAAAATAAATGTATGTAGGCTACTTTCATAATATAAGCCCTTAATTTAAAATTTCTTATAGTAATAGATTCTTGATTCGTATCATTTTTCTTCGCTTCTGAATATAGTGGTTGACCCATTTATATTTGCATTAGTGCCCTATACATCATGGTCCACGTAAATTCCATTGGACCTCAAGGAACTCGTCCTTAAAGACATTGAACTAGTGTACTCGTCCATTAGCTTCGATGTAAGCTTCTCCAAGTCATCTCTAATGAACTAAGTATCTTCTAATGGGTGCTTTTCCTTCCACCTTAGAAGAAATTTATAATCTCTAGTTTAATTTGATGGCATTTCCTCAGTTTTTAAATGATAAACTTCAAAGAAAGAATGCTGGTTAGGCATCAACAATTTATGATTTTGTCCTCTTAAAAAAGAATCATGAGCTAAATTTGGAGGTTTGCTAGTATACATGTAAAATCTTGGTGGTGTTTTACCCACTTAGCTTGGTTATAAATAAAATGTTTTTTTAGTAATATACATTTAAGATCTTGATGGTCTTATACAATAAGTAGTTGCTCTAATGTTTTAGAGTTCTTATTATAGTTTAGAATTATTTATTGTTATAAACCTTTTATAGAAGATTGCTAAGCTATGAAAGCTCTCGACATCTATGAATGATTGTCATAATCATTGAATGATCTATTTTAAAACCTATAATAGATACAAAAAAGCCTTAAAAATAACTTCAATATAATAAAACAAGTATGTCTAAAGAATAACATTGAAAATTGCTACATTTAGTTCCTTTAACTTACCTTAAGTAACATAAATACGTTATTTCACTAAAGTTATAAACAATAACGTCGTCAAAATGTAACATAAAAAATAACCAAAAAAAAATTTCACAAATGTATTTATCATAAATGCGTTGGGGGTATTAGAAAATCCAAAAGATTTTCTTAGACTTTCAAAAATTATCTTGAGCTTTAAAAGCCATCTTGCATTCGTTTGTAGACCTCAATCTCATTTGGTGGTAACCACTATTCAATTTAATTTTGGAAAACAAAAAAATAAGAATAGGATCTAATATCTCTGTCAAACAAGGATAGTGAACTTTGTATTTTAGTAAAATTTTATTTTTTGTTCTACTGTCTAAACATATTCTCCATGTATAATCTTTCTTATGTATCAAGATAGTAAGAATTACACAAATAATTAAGCTTTCTTGAATGAGCCTTTCCTTAATAATTAATCAACTTATCTTTTCAATATGCTTCATTAGTTTTATCCTATAATGTGGTAAATGAAGTATACGTGAACCACGAATGAGGTCTAT